TGTCTCCACCAACTGAGTCTTCATTAAAGAGGCACATTGAGAGAGGACAGGGAACAACTGTTTTAAATCAAGTGGATATGGAAATGCCCTTGAAAGCCAGTAAAGTCATTACAGTACATGATGTGCTCTCTGTTTGATCTGGTGCTTTGATGTTTGACTAAAGCACATCCCAGGCCTAATGCACACACTCACATCTGACTGTGAAGGACACTTGACTAATAACCTACTATGTGAGACCTTGGCCAAGATTTCTGCTGTTAGTCTCAGACACAAACTTAATTTCAGGGCAGGTCTGGGGCCTCATTTATTAACGGTGCGTATGCTCAAAAGATGGCGTACGCCAGTTTCTACGCAATGTTTGCAATTTATAAAAAACAAACTTGAAGTTAAAATGTGCGGTCCTCCACGCAAACCCTGACCCATGCGTACGGACTAAGCACAAAAACAGGAGAGACGAGAAACTGCGACCCCGTTGGCAGAAGGAAAAATGGAGAGAAATATGTGGAAATAATACCATCAATAGAACGTTACCTCTCATTTATCATATATGAAGAATTCATTTTCAAACATTGATTAGAGCCAATCTTAAAATGATTAAACAAACGCCTGTTTGCGACTCCTCAGTGCACACAAAAACATAACTTGGAGAAATACATTTAAAACCACCTCGAATATGTTGTGTTAATGTTATGAAATGTTTTCTCATAAATTATGCGGTAAACAGGGGGAAATAATTACGTCTAAACTGACGCCGTTTTTCATTTCTATGGGTTGTAGGCTATAGATGCGAGCATGCTTTTATATACTATCACGTTTAATCGTGTTTTATGCCGTTTGCCGCCTACTTGATAAGTCGCTCGTAAAACACAGGAGGTATGGAAACTAAGAACACCTATGTGGTAAATTGAACAGCTAATATAACACAACACATTAGTTGTATTTCCTTTAATGGTGGATTATGGATATAGAGTTGCTGATCGAAAGCTGGAACACAAACCACCAAATACAAACAAGTGATTCAGATCCAGTCGTCATGACTCCACTCCGGAGGGATTCCCGATAATTTCTTAGAGTTTCTCTGGTTCAAGCTGCATCAACCAAACAATATGATTTATCTCGACCTCCCCAAAATAACCAAAATCTGACACGGTGTGAGATGTCTTTTTTAGCTGTTCTGTCGTCATTTCCTGCGATCTTCTCCATGCAGTCAGTCAAAATAAATGAATGGGCGTTTCTTTGACTATTTATAGGCAAATATGGGCGTTACGTGAAGCCCGTAAAAGCTGCGCCGCATTTCGAGTCGATTGTGATTTATAAAAGGGAAACAGGCTGCACTTCCCACGCCGGTACGCAATATTTTGTGAATCGGAAAATGTCGGAACATTTCTGTACCTATTTTTTTTTCTTTCTACTACGTAAGCAACCTTCCCACGTGAATCCTACGCACGGCGTTATAAATGAGGCCCCTGGCGTATATAAACACGGGCTCTAACACAGTAAATGAACGTTAAAGCAATAACTGTCAACGTTTTTCTTTTCAATAATCTTTGTAATCTTTATGCCTCTTTTTTGAGCAAACAAGAAAGTGTAGTTGTGGGAATGGAAAAAAGAAATCTAAAAGCACTTGCCCCATGAGTTCAGGGCCTGAGATTATTCACTGCGAATCTTTGCAGGGACTACAGGAACTTCCACAGACTCTAAAGCCTCCATGTTACACTCCCCATGTGGAGTGATGGAGAGGGGAAGGAAAAATAAGCTATAGTCGTAGTGGAGGCCCACAAACCCCAATCACAACTTAAACAGCAGGACTTCCACCAGTCAGCATCCTCAGCACTCTCCTTCTCCTTTTTATTGTCTCCTCCTCTCGGAAATTTGCTAAAAGAGGTGCCAGCTTGCAAAAGCAACACAAAGGAGAAGAAAGAAGGTTTCTGCAGGGTCTAATCCTGGGGGGCTGGAAAAAAGGGTCGGCTGAGGTTTCCCTCTCTCTCTTTGTGCCTGTCCAACAGCCCTGTTTCTTGATGAAAATGTCCCGCTGGATGAGGGCATTAGACGCCCGCTCTAATCCCGTGTAATTTCCCACAATCCCCTTTGCTTGCTTCCTGCCAAGGAGTTCTTTGGCGCCCCGCTGAGCCCCTCACTGCTGGCTTTGGCGTTCCCACACCCCTGCTCAACAGTATTTCCTCTGCCGACAGAGAGGAAACAGGACACTCTGTCTCTCCATCCCTCCTCCCTTTCATCTCTCTTTCCATCAGAGCCAAAACAGCAGCAGAAACTATCAGCCTACTGACGAGTGTGTCCTCAGATTGTGACTTTTGGCTGAACCATGACACGGCTAAGGTCGCAGAAGAGACACATAGGTTTTAGACATTAGCAGAATTAAAATCAGGGTCCACCACTGGTTGACCTAAATCACATCTGTGTGTGGCTTTGTTGCATTGTTCTCCTTCACTGCTAACAGTGTGTTTATGTGCAAGTCTATGTACGTTTGCCACCGCCATAATCCCGCAAAATCTCCCTCTTACGTAAAATGCTTTATTATCATATTTTTTATCGCTGGGCGCATCAGAGGGTCAGCTAGGGAAAGAGCCGAGTGACACGCTGTCTGCCCTCTCGTCCAAAAGTCTATTTCAGTAGCATCCAACTCAAGTGATAAATGTATTATACATGCTATGGTGTTCTCAATAGTCGTGAAAGCTGGTACTGAAATGGGCTTTGGATAAAACGCATGATTGTGTAAAAGCACAGTGGTTGCTAATCAATAACCTTTTTAGAAGAATTTATCCACGCCTGCTGACGAGAATTCTACTGAAGTCTTAAATTAATGTCAGCACGTCTAAACTGTCCCAGACTGATGCTTCTGTTTGATGCTGAGTTGTGGTGTGGATAAAAAAAGAGACTCCAATTTGTAAGCTACTTCCTCTTTCTGTGTAGGTCAACTTAGCTTTTGAAACTTCCCTTACTTCTGAAAGCAAGCCTGAACCATTTTCAAGAGAAAAGACACAACATAGTGACTGGTCCAAAGTTACAAACACAATAACAATGCTTATGTTAAGAAGATATAATGTTTCCCTTGTTCACCATTTAGTAATTGTATTGATAGTTGGTAATATCAACTTGGTGGTAGTGCTAGAACAAAGTCTGGAGATCAGCAATCCCAATGGGCTTTATCATCGGGAACATGAATGTTACGTTACATTTCATTTAGCTCACACTTTTATCCAAAGCGACCTAGATTAAGTGCAATCAATCGTGAAAATACAAGGCAAGAAAGCCTGTAAGTACATTAGCTTTCGATAAGCCAAAACCTTTTGAGTCATAGTGCATCGGCTTCAAATAAGCCGAACATGCTGCTAGCACGGCTAAATATAAGTAAAAGTCATTAATGAAAACTTGCATTTGTCTCTAAGACTTTGCTCTTGAGTTTTAAGAGATTCCTGACAATATCCAACATTATTATGTACAAAATAAGGTATGGATTCCAGTAACCATTTACCTGAATTAGGATTGTTGCATTTGCTGATTTGTCTGTTTGTCAGCAGGATTGAGGGAAAAAAATACTGGCCCGGTTTTCATGAAACTAAGCCAAGGTAGGAACCATTACATTTTGGAGCGAATCCACATCATACATTATTTTTCACTTATGGAAACAGTCTTTGCAGAGGTCGGCTCTCTCCAAGTGCTTTTCTAGTTTAATTTGGTATTATGAGTTGGGAATCTTGTTTTATGTAATGAAGTTACCGTAAAGCTTGTCATGTACTGTAGTAGCAACGTATCCTTACTTAACCTTAAAGTCATTATGAAAACATATGCAGAGCTGGCTTACTAGTTTATGATGTCTGTCTTGTAAAATTCACACATATAGTACATGAATGTCAAATGTGTGAATCTCGCATTAAGTTGTTAGAAAGGTGTAAATGTAGCCTCTTTATTTCTCTTATTATGAATTTGGCACTTGTAAGTCAGCATTCACTCAGTGTGTGTGTGTGTGTGTGTGTGTGTGTGTGTGTGTGTGTGTGTGTGTGTGTGTGTGTGTGTGTGTGTGTGTGTGTGTGTGTGTGTGTGTGTGTGTGTGTGTGTGTGTGTGTGTGTGTTTTGATCTTATTGTTTTCATTATTAACGTTGAATTATTTATTTTAATATTTGTTTTAATGATTTGTTTTTGTCAGTGTGTATCAACTAGAATTAAAATGCTAAATAAGTCCAACATAGTTTATTCTTTTAACATTTCATTGTGGTCATTTGTATTTGTTTAACACACTTTTTTATTTGATCCACTTGTTTCTCAGTGTATATTTCTGTTTCTAGATGTCGCCCTCTAGTGGAGACTCAGAGTACAGTCGCCCTCTAGTGGAGACTCAGAGTACAGTCGCCCTCTAGTGGAGACTCAGAGTACAGTCGCCCTCTAGTGGAGACTCAGAGTACAGTCGCCCTCTAGTGGAGACTCAGAGTACAGTCGCCCTCTAGTGGAGACTCAGAGTACAGTCGCCCTCTAGTGGAGACTCAGAGTACAGTCGCCCTCTAGTGGAGACTCAGAGTACAGTCGCCCTCTAGTGGAGACTCAGAGTAAATCAAGCACAAAGGAATACATTAATACAATAAGAAAATAATTTATATTAAATGTAAATAAAAATACAATAATAAAATAATATTTGGATATTAAAAGTGATACATTTTAAATAAATATAATTTAAATAAAAAAATAATAATATTGATAATAATTATTGAGGAAGTTATTGAGGAATTACATTCTTTAAATTAAATGTAATTAAACAAGAGATTACAATGATGATGCAATAGTAATACTATGAAAAAAGTAATTGCGTGTATATAATAATGATGAAATACCGTTGACTGCTTGTCCTTTTTAAATTATTGCCTTTGTGTGTAAGAGGTTTTTGTAACATGTCTTTGGGCGTATTATGGGATGGGCAGTTTGTTCCACACTGAGCTTTAAAGTTACCTCTGTTATTTCACTCCCTGAAAACACATTTCCAGGATCAGAGGGGAGTCTGCTTCTCATCCTCAAACAGAAACATGAGTCCACCTGAAACCCTGCAGTCCTCAGAAACCCCAGATCATTCTCAGACTTACTCTACACAATATAAAGGGATTGATTTGAGAATATAATCACTAACAAACAAAGATCAGAGCGGGCACAACACATGTACGGATAATCTGTCACTCAGACACTTTTGGATAATGATGTGTCTGTCACCTTTCAAAAATAATAGCATGCAGACGGCTCCTATAAATGTGACACGGTGAGTATTGATCTTTATTTAGTATCTAAACTATATAGTAATCTAACACACTCAGGGTGTGTATGAACTGTGTGTGTGTGAACTGTGTACTAGTGTGTGTAAGTGTGGTTTAAAAATACAGTAGAAATCCCCAGGAATCAGCTTAGACGTCTAAAAAGTGAGACTGTGTGTGTTCCCTCACTGTTGTTTCGGGCGAGGTGGTGATCTCTCAGCTGTTTCTAAATATTTGGGGAGTGTCGTGTTGAACAAAAGGAGGAGATGCCTTCAGGGTCAGGATATCATCAACATCATAACCCTGTCCTATTCTGCTTTCTGTGGGAAAATGTAAATGAATCCGCCTCAAATAACTTTGACTGACTTCACTTGAGTTCACAGTCTGTCTGCAGATTATCCAATGTTACACCTCATTTGCATATGTAATCATAACATGTCAGAGAACTTGCAATATAAAAAGTGATTGTGTTAGTGTCAGTAATGAAGTGGGGAAGGTTCATGGTGATATCTGTTAGTTATAGTGTTACCCTATACCTGGAGGGTGTGTGCAAGATGTAGGAACACCCCCAGGTCTTTAGAGGGAAAGGGGTTACTCAACTGTTTTACCTAATATAACAACTCAGTGTCTGAAAGGGTTCATGACTACAGTTTGTTACATAAACCATTTTTTATTTAACGTTTTTATCTCAAAATTCTTACATTTTTGGAAAGTGCGCTTATAAATAAAATGGATTTGTTGTTTCTGAATTGTTTTTCTTGAATTCACTATATGGAATTGTTATTATCTTTTCCCTCCGTGTTACGTGCCGTAGTGTGTGTGTGTGTGTCTCCTTCTCTACGCCTGATTGTCTGCCTCCAGGGCCCTTTCTCATTTCTCTAACTCCCCTCCTCGACTCCCCTCCTCGGGTCTTAGCCCCGCCCACAGGAGATGCGAGTGGAGGAGCCGAGGAGGGGAACCGAGGAGAGAGGAGGGGAAGCAGCAGGCGGTTAGAGAAATGAGAACTCCTCTCCTCTGAGCGGTCATTTTAAAGAGACGTCCATTAATGATGACAGGAGGCACAGCAGCCCTCTGTCTGATGGACAGATGTGTTCATGACCACTTATATATTTACTTTGATTCATTCACAGTGCGGTATAATGAGACAATGACAGACTACGGATGCAGACATATACACACACACATATATTTATATAAATATATACAATTTAAAAGTATAGAGAGCACTCTCAATAATAACATAACAATATCAGGCTGGATATACTCCCCCCCGGGACAAAAAATGTATTTACAAGTATTAAAAGTAAGCATAGGACTCCAAACCAACTGAGACCTGTCTGTCCGCCGCATCTACGCACTGTACAACACGCACACACTCTACCACACACAC